GGATGTGGAGTTTTCTCCCTTTCTCTTGCCAGCGCCGCATCTACATTGGGTATCCTGCGCTGAGTTTTTGTTTCCACATCCAATGCATTTGCATTTCGCTGTACATTTTCGTTTAGCAATGGAACACGGGCATGATCTACCTTTTCTATCTCTCAAAGGATGTGCTATGCAGGACTTGGTTCTAAATTTCCGATTTCTCCCGCAACTGCAAAATTGATCATTCTCGGTTCCAGTGTCAGTTATTGTTTGGGCTGGTACTGCGTCTGCTGTAAGGAAAGCAAAGAGAATAACTCCTTAGATACTTTTAGAAAACAGTCCTAAGAAAGTACGCGCGCTGATTGGTTAAAAATCGTGATTCTATTACTCGATAGAAACACAGAGCTTCCACGAGCTATTGACGTAATGATGGCGCGAGCAAAGATAATTTACACTTTGGTAGTCAAAGGTAACAAGTTGTTTTCCTTTTTTCATCGCGGTGTTTTCTAAAAGAAATAGAAGACATGTTCTTCGTGTTTCTATCGAGTTATAGAGACACTCGTGAAAGTTTGGGAGAACTCTAAAAAGCTGTGGAAACACTCGACTAGCTACGGCTCGTGTTCACACGGTATTTCTCGTTCTCCCAAACTTCCACTCGTGTTTCTATAACTCGATAGAAATACGGTACATGTTTTCTATTTCTTAAATAATATTTACATACAATGCATTTATTGTTTTTCGTTGTTTGTCTTCCTTTCTTTTGTGTGATTGCCATGCGACGGTTGAAAACGCCTATTTACACCTGTGTCTTGGATTTGGGGTCGTCCTCAAAACTATCCTTAACTTTTTTATTTTATTTACTTAAATTTTTTACTGTAAAGCGCCATGAGCCATGGATATGGCGCTATATAAATCTATTATTATTATTATTATTATTATTATTATTATTATTATTATATTAAAGGGGCAGTTTTATACATTTTTTGTGTCACTTTGAATAGCCTTAAAACACATTTGAATAGATGGAATCTTCAAAATAATGATCCATTTATCTTTTAACTAGGTCATAATGACTATAGTTTATGAGTCTTATATTACTTGTAAGGAACTACCAAAATGAAGTCTCGTTACCTTCAACCAGTTTCTTTGTGGAGTCATAGTGGCCTGCTCCATAGAAATGGAAAGCAACAAAAAGTGATTGTTCAGAGGAAAACCTGTCCGGAACGAAGAGAAGCCACGGGACGGACTCATTTGATGTCACCATCATTATTGTCGTTTGTAGTACTTGGGCACAAGTTTTCATGATCAAATCGCCATTTGTCGAATACTCCTGGCAATCGAAATTCATTTGTCTGCTTGTGGAGGTTTCTACTATCCCCTTCCAGTGGTAAGAATGCAAGAAGCTCTTCGTCGCCATCTTCTAACTTGTCAACGAACAGTTGTCTCAACTGGTAGGTGTCTTCATCCTCCGATTTTAGCAAACCTAAGCTCTCGACGTGTTCCCGAAATCTGATATCTCCAGTGCTGACTTTTACAATTTGTTTGGCTAGACTCCTGAAAGCGCAATCACCATCGCCGATAACTTCCTCGATTTCAAGGTCAAAGGCGGCTAAATTCCTGTTAAGAACATCGACGAACCCATTAACTGTTACATCATCTCCTTGGAGAAACGTGCTGGAATCACTTAATACATCTGGCATATTAGCTAGGGCCAAAAGATCGAGAGTTTGTAACCCTCGGTTCAAGTTTTTCTTTTCTAAGTTTGTGACCACTTTAAACAATTCATTCGAAGCATCTAATATTACTTTAGATACGAATTCCGTGTATACGTCTTCGATATTCTCTGCTACAAATATGATGTTGTCATCGTTGGACATTGTGTGCGGTGATATATCATTGACTTGATCTTGTGTATTCAATACATTAGAAGCTGCAGCAAAAGGAAACGTATAGCTGATTTCTTCTTCAGTAGAGTTTCTGATGCACGCTTCGATGGGTGCAGCGCATCCTACTTTTGAATTGCATTCGTGTTTGGCTGGTGTAGTTCTGCTACTATGGTAATAAAAAAGCACCGTGAGAATTGCTACGGCTAGTTCGACGCTAATTCTAGTTGCTCCAGTTATCATTGATCTATTCAGCAACCTATGCAGTTGCTCGTTTCTTTCTGTTCCGAATCCAGGTGGTATGCCTGATAAACAACCTTTGTCGATATGTTTTTTTAGTTTCTCAATTTCTCCCATTGTTTCTTTAGAAAGAGGTGAGTTAGGTAGCCTACTCCATCTGTTTATGAAAGCGTTTAAGTTCTGGAAAATCTTTCTCTCGCAGGGTGTTTCACGGAAACGCTTTTCTCCTTGATCGTTGTCGTATCTAAAGATCAATCCAAATTCCTTCCTGAAAGATCCCGCAAGAGGATGGTTGATATGAGTAACTGTCTTACAGACTCGCTGACAAGCGTGGTAAAGGTCTAGCTTTACGGGGGTGCTATTAAATACCGTCTCGTACTTGTTCCGTACCTTACAACAATCATCAACACAAACAAGTTCTAACTTCTTATTCGCTTGCTCAAGACGTGACTTGTACTGTAGCAACACCTCCCTTATCTCCTCAAAGGATGTAGTCTTTGTCAACCTCCAATCTACAATTTTTCCCTCTTCATTCAGTACAATGTACAGATTATTAAATTGTGTCACAAACTTGTCTTCGTTGCCAGGTCTAACCATCCCAATGTTCTTACTGACCTTGAACGTGTGATCACAGGAGATGAACGATCCTGTCACTTTCTTCATTTCATTCTGGTATGTTTCTCTTTTTGCTTCGAAATCCCGCAAAAAGATGCTGATAATATGATCACTACTAGGGAAGGAGTACAGTTCTTCTGCGTAAACGTCCGACTCGTCCAAAGGATCGCCGACCACAAGCCCTTCTTCCAGAGCACCATTGTAGATAAGCCCACGTCTGCTAAAGTGTCGAAGATTCAACTCCGCTATAGCCTCGCCAATTTTTGCAAAGTTTACCCCTCTTACAATGTTTGAATTGATATAATCCAAAATTTGATTTGTACAACCACTACGAGTAAAAACAGTGATGGGAAAGAAATTCTGAATGTAGCGCGGTAAAGTCAACATGAGATCATAGGATGACGCAACAATTTTGTGAGGATGCCCTCTAATTTTGCAGAGGTAGATGCGTTGCACAAGAAGAACGTTCCCAAACAGATCAAATATGAGCCTTGGCTTTCTGTCCTTTGTTCCTGCTTCTGATGTAAATTTCCATGGCTGTAGAGTGCACTTGTGTACAGGGCATCGCAAGGTGCATCCGAGAAACTGTTCTTGAGGGCTCCATATGAAAATCTTTGGCATAAAAAAATCTGACTTCATTGCCCCGTTCAGAGGAGGATTTATTATGTTGAGAAATTTCCCGTCCGTTGGATTTTTCCGAAACTCCTCTAGGATCATTCGAAGGTAAGAATTGAGCGAGTCTTCGTTCACAAGCTGCATTCCATTGCTTTGCGTGACTAATATCGATATTAGGACCATCAATGGCAACCACCACTGAGTAGAAGCACATCTACGGCTTGCTGGGAAGTGAAAGATGACAAAGTATTATTTACGTTTGAAGGGAACTATATTCAATTAGAAAACATAACATAGTAATCACTCACAAATTTCTAAACGTGTGAGCATTTGCAAGAAACTAAGTCAATGGCTTGATCACACAATCCATATAGAAAAGGGTTAGGATCGACCTGGACGAGAACCGACTCTCGATATTATAGACATCCAGTGTTTGCGCAAATTCACATCTTAATTTAAAAAAAGAATGCCTTTCCTTTGGTAGCAGCGCAGAGAAGTTTTATCAGTTGGAACTGACAATTTATTAAGGGGTTACTACTCAAATGTTCTTGTCACAATTTTTTGAGAATTCGTCCCTCTCCGTCTTCAGAGATGGCCCACCCTTAGTAACATCGTCAGCGTCGAAGGTTCCTGATGATTGAAAGATTCCAAAAACACGAACGTAATGTTGTCATTTCATTTTGAAAGCGTTGGGCCCCAATCATTTTCCGTGTCCCTCGAACTTAAACGGCTATAACCTATCGAAAATGTCTCATATCTTTGACGAGGTTCAATATCTGTAGTTTTTCGCAAGATTTTAAGAAATCGTGTATTTAGTAGCCCGCAAACATTCTGCCCAAGATAATTTGTACCCCTTGACTTTTTCGCGAGTCCAAAGATAGATTCGTGGGAACATCTTCATGATTACTGCTATGTTCTCTCGACAATGCAGTGCATTTTGACTTACATATTTCTAGTCGGATTTCATCTTTAAAAATAGGGACAACATCCCGGGAGAGATTCCAAACTAAAACTTTTTATTAATTAATTTATTTTTTGCAAACAAGAAGACAAGCTTTCCTTTCGACAGATTAAAAACAAAACAAAACAACAACAAAAAAACACGAAAACACTGATTCCCCTTTGGTAAGTCTTTTCTTAAGGTCGCAAAAAATTAAAATATAAAAAAGCTGATCACGGGCAAGTTGAGAGTAACATTTGCTTTGGTACTCTTGTAAAATGGCTTCCTTAAATAGCGTATTGAAAGTACCAGTACCTAAACATTTAGCTTAAACAGTAAGATTTAAGGATGAAAGCATTGTTCGAGTCGAAAAGTGTCAGTGAGACTAAGTCCACTTATGACCATAAAGCATACTTTGAAAGAGGGGCATGGCATCTCCGGTTCAACAAATCTGAGACAGAGTGACCCTACAAAGATTGCGTGATATCCCGGTTGTAATAAAAACCGTCAGAGGCAGAGTATGACTTAATGTTTTCATATTCTATCGGGCAGACATGAGAAATGTCATGAACAAACCATATGTTTTACAATCTTTCTTCTGGTGGGAGTTTGGATGGTAGATTTTCTGAAAAATTAAAACTGAAAATAGCCATATTCTCTGCTCAGATGTGCTTCCACTTTCAATGTCACACCCCCGATGCCTTCCAAAAAAAAAAAAAGTCATATCGACAACTGACAACTTAATTAAACGTTTCTTTTTGTGTTTATTTCAATACATCTTACAGACAATGAATTGAACTTTGCTACCTCTGCAGATAAAATTTTGCAGCAGGGGTTTTTCAACAAGCGAGAAGCAACAACGGCAAACACTAATTGTAAAACGAACACAAAAACTTAGATACAGTTTCATGATCTGCCACATGTGAAAGAAACTTGTCATTTCAGCTGCAGTCTTTTTAATTCTTTACGAAATGTAACTCAGGTTGTCTTCATAGGTCAAATTTAAGTTGTCCCGATTGGTGAGAATTAACACGATAGTTTCACATTGCGCCTGATACGGTCTTAACACGTGTTCACAATGTTGGACCCAACAACTACAACGAAGCAATTGCAATTTTAACACTTCAGACCTGAATTATTTAATATATAGGTAAATTCATCGAAATTATCAGCTAGAATGAGAAAACGGAAAATATTTTTAAAAGCAAAAATAATTCCGTCTGTTGCCCAGAAGTTCCATTTTAGACTCCCCTGAGGTAAAATGTCAGACACAATAACAATAACGATAACAATGGCTTGTTACTTTGGGGAAATTTTTATCATGTAAATATGTCCTTATAAGGGCACATAAAGTCTGGAAACACAGATAGGTGTTTTAGATGTTTTTACTTTTAAAACATGCTCTCGTTAGATGCCCCTTAACTCCGCTGATTCGATATCTTTCATTTTAATTAATTCTTTGGACCTCTTCTCGGCCTTTTGCCTGTAAAGGAATATACAGCAGGTATCCACAGTTAGCTTTGTCGGCTACTTTAAATACTCGCTTTTTATTACTGGGTGTCATTATTCTTTAAAAGAAAATAATCAGTGATTAAGCATCATCATCACGCATCGAACATCTTCATTATTTCAAAATCAATGCACTCCCATGAGACCGCATACCGGCTACGTTAACATTGAAAATAAAGAAGCTTTTGAGACCATTTTACACTTACCTTTTATTTCCCCGGGGTGTAGTCGATCCTTCAGGGAAGAGGCTTCATCCTTGGTACCTGTATGTAAGAAATCACGTTTTTGGAATGGTGGGCATAACAGAGCAATCACTTTGCTTTATAAGAAAGTCTAATTTACATGCTTCTTATAGTTACATGCTTGTGCGGCTTGCTGTGGTACATACATCAATTCTACCTTTATTTAAACAAAAGAGCAAAATAAAGAAGTTTTTAATTGACTCTCAGCCTGGGTATTTTCTTACCATGTTCTTACCAATCTCGGCTTCAACGTTCATTTGAGCCTGGCAACCGCCCTGGCTTGGTTAGCGTTATACATGTCATTGCCGATTTGGCTTACTCCCCTGGTTTCCTTACTCTAAATAAAATCTTCAACCAACCGGTCAGTTTTGAGAAAAATGATACTCTATTCTAGACCCAAACGCTCTGATTTATATACCCTATCCTAGAGTAAACTGCTTGAAAACCATACCCTTCACAGCGACACATACTTATATAGCCCTTATATGGCAGTGCCTCCCCCGGGGGAGTACCCACCCCACCCCGGGGCCCCCGGGAGCTGGCTCTCCTTCTCAAATTAACGCATCAGACTTTTTACAAAGGAAATAGGAGCAGGCCGAGATCACCGTTTCCGGGTTAACCTAGTGAATGTGAGTGCGTACAGGTAAAGATGAGTGCATACAAGTGAAGGTGAGAGAACACAAGTGAAGTTGAGTGCGTAAAAGTGAAAGTGGGTGAATTCAAGTAAAGATGACTGCGTACAAGTGAAGGTGAGCGCATACAAGTGAAGGTGAGTGCGTACAAGTGAAAGTGAGTGCATACAAGTAAGGGTGAGTGCAAACCAGTGAACATGAGTGCATACAAGTGAATGATGGTGCAAACAAGTGAAGGTGAGTGTATACAAGTGAAGGTGAGTCCACACAAGTGAATGTGAGTGAACACAAGTGAAGGTGAGTAAATACAAGTGTAGGTGAGTGCATACAAATGAAGGTGAGTGAATACAAGTGAAGGTGAGTGCAAACAAGTGAAGGCAAGTGAATACGAGTGAAGGCGAGTGCATACAATTGAAGGTGAATGCATGCAAGTGAAGGTGAGTGCATACAAGTAAATGCGAGTGCATACAAGTGAAGGTGAATGCGTACAAGTGAAGGTAAGTGCATACAAGAACGTGA